AAAGAGTGAGTTTTTGTTGTAAAGAGACTGTGTTAGCTGCCTCGAGAGCAAGTTATTCCTAAGTGAGGTCACCTCTCATGCTTTCTCTCTTCACATCTGCCTGCTAGCCCTTCTCCTTTTCTGCCCTGAGGTGAAATACCATGTGACTAGCCCTCCTTAGATGTGGCCACCCAATCTTCCTAGACTCCAGAACCTGGAGCCAAAATGCACCTCTTTTCTTTATAAATTATCCAGTCTCAGGTATTCTGCTGTAGCAGCACATTCAATTTGAGTTATATAAAAGTGAGAAAAGTTTACTCTCTAGAAAATCCATTGATTGGGGTCAGCAGGTGGTACAGCAGTTAGGTACTCAGAATTGTCATACACAACTGAGCCCCAACGACCACCATGTGCACTGCAGTCCTATGGCTTTCTAGCTGGCATAGCTTCCCTAAAATTCTTTTTAGGGTGAGGAACCATAGTATGTTGCACTTTTTCTTTTTCTTTCTTTCTTTCTTTCTTTTTTATTTATTTATTTTTTGAAGAGTTTTTTGCTATAGGGTACGTGAGCTCGCCAGAAAGACAGAGAGAGACAGAGAGACAGAAAGCGAGAAATCACCCCCCAGGGTAGATGGCCATGCCGCAATCCCTTCTCCTCCATTCTCCTCCTGGGATCTTGGGCACGCATGCACACATGCCTGGCGTGAGTTTAAGCCACCAGATCTGGGATTTGAACTGCGGTTGACTACATTGGAGTCCAACGACATAGCCATTATGCCAACTGTTGGTCCCAGTATGTTGCACTTTACTCTTTCCTGTAGATCATTAAAATGACCATAATACAGGGACTCTATTGTTGACTGGAGATGTTCTTCGGTGAGGTCACAAAATAAAACTGAAGTCAAACACGGGTTCTATCCTACTGCTTGAGCTTTTCCATGTTCTATTTATGTTATTTCTCTCCATGAAAATCATGTTATCTGAATGATCATTGTTCTGTTCCAAAGGAACATTACAGGCCATTTCAACACATTACCTTTCATTGGCCCCTGCATTTAGGCCCACACAGAGGAGACAAAAATAGCGTAGAAAATAATGTGGATACTTTACATTAGGACTCCCAAGTGTTCACTGACTTGATTTGATATGATTAATTAGCATGTCTGTGTGCTCAGAAAAGAAAAGCCTATTTCACTCATATTCACTACTATATGTATTTACTACTATTAATCACTATGTATATGGTACAAGTCATTGACTTGAATTATATTTCCCTTGAGAAGAAAAAGATTCAAACAACCATCAATCATGTTACAGTATTACAAGGTCCCAGAGAGTGTACTTTATCTGTGACACACATTGTTAGGAATTTAATTGGGCATTTAATGTAGTGAAGAGGGTGGGGTTAAGTTCTGTTTCTTTTGTTTGTTTGTTTTCCTTTTTCAGTGGAATAAAGGGTACACAATGAGCAATTGACTGCATGTAAGGAGAAATGTATCAAACTGAAAACATACAACATAAAAATATCTATTTTAAGAATTTTTTTAATAATTATTTATTTTATTTTATTTATTCATTCATTTATTTTTACCAGAGAGATACAGAGAGAGAGAAAGGGAGAAAGCGAGAAAGGAAGCCACCAGGTTCAGGACTCGAACCATGGTCAGCCATGTGGGAGTGTCCAGTGCCTTAACCACCACGCCACCTGCTGGCCCTTAAGAATGATCTTTAATTGACAAATAAAAATTATACACATTTGTTGCATATACATAATAATTTGAAATATGAATACATTATGGAAGGGCTAAATAAAAACTTCTCTTTCTATCCAATGGCCAAATTCATAGCATTCTAAGACAGGAAGATTTGTCCATTTGACTGATTTCTCCAATAATTCTCTGTTTTTCCTTTTTGTATATTCTCTTGCACTGATAGTAAAATGACAGCAGAACATGTTGAAGTGAATCATCTATTCCCCCCAATGTCTATTTACCAGAAGTAACTCTGGTCTAAGTTTCACCTACTTATAGACCTTGTTCGTTATGAAAATTTTGAAACCTCAACCAAAGCGTACCTTCAGACAAAGACCAAAGTAGGCTGCCAGGAAATGCCTTTTCACAAGAAGGGACTCCCATGAAAGCAGTTTTGTTTTCTTTTGTTCTGGGAGAAAAGGGGGTCAGAAAGATAACCTAGGAGGAGAATGAAGCCAAGAACTAAAGGATTGTTTTTGACAACTGGATCCTCCTATAGGAGCTAAGCGGAGACCTTTTGACTGAAGTAATCCTTGGAAGGTAATTGAGCATGCACTTAGAACGGGCGAGAGTCAGGGACATGAGCTGATCACTAAGAGTGTTATCAAGGCTGGGAAATCAGCAGTGGAAAGGGACAAGGTCCAGACTGTCTCTTTGCAGTTTTTATTTTGCACATCATGCCCACATTCCTGTCTTTTGCATACACACACATATGCTTGTTCATGAAAACTCCCTCAGGGGTCAAAATTTGGGGCTGTGAATTGCCCGTGTGGGTCTGAGCTGGGAAATCAATGCAAGCTTCTCCTGTGTTCCTTCTGTTTACAGAGATATAAAGGTTACAGAAGTAGAAAAAATATATATTGTATATACCATTGATATCTTTATCTATAGGGATATTTATAAGGTTGACAGACACACAAAAATGTCTTACCTCTGTACACAGCTTTAGCCAATAAGACACACCTCAGGAAAAATGAGCACCCTCTTGCAAGTGCAGCAGACAGCAGGCTGTTGACACCTCTGCCCCTCTGAGTGGTACACCGTGCTTCCTCCCTCTGCCCTCCTCTGAGCATGCCTTCTCACTAAGTACCACCCACAGTAGGTCACTCTGTGCAGCCGTACACACTCCAAAGGTAGTACTTAGAATGGTTAAAGTAAATACGTTGAAGAGGATAGGCTCTGAGGTTAGACCTTCTGATTTCTAAACTTCTCACTATAGCACTAGCTGTGTTTCCTGAACCACTTTGCTTGGTCTCTCCCCCACGGCCCCCCTCATCTGGACAAAATCTTCTATGCTGCTTTTTTGTCCTCATCCAACTACTTACCTTCTCCTTATTGCCATCTTCCCCCTGCTACCCCTACCCCTAACTAGTCAGAGAAACCTTTGAAGTCCTGATCTTTGGAAAAAAAAAAAATGTATCAATAGAACCTCAAGTTGACAAAGAGCCCAGTGGATCACCTAACACCATCCATAAAATAATAGTAGCTCGTTTGATCAACCAACAGTACTCATGGGAAGTTAAAAAAAATAAATAAAGAACGGGAACCAGCAGTTAGTGTAACGGCTATGTCGCTGGACTCCCACATAGTCGACCGCGGCTCGCGTCCCGGATCTGGTGGCTTAAAACTCACGCTGGGTGCGTGTGCGTGCGTGCCCAAGATCTCAAGAGGAGAATAGAGGAGAAGGGATCGTGGCGTGACCATCCTCCCTGGGGGGTGATTTCTCACTTTCTGCCTCTATGTCTCTGTCTGTCTGTCTGGCGAGCACATGCACCCTATAGCGAAAACCTCTCCAAAAAAATAAAATAAAATAAAGAGGGGCTTGAGGTCAGCAGGTTAAGGAGCTGTAATGGTTAAGGCACTGGAATTCCACATGGCAGACTGCAGTTTAAGTGCCAGACTTGGTGGTTTGAAACTCACATTAGGCACGTGTGTGTGTGTCCAAACTTCTGAGAGGAGAAAGGAGGAGAAGGGATTGCTGTCTGGCCATCCCCTTGGGGAGTGATTTCTTGCTTTTTGTCTCTCTCTTTCTGTCTCTCTGGCAAGTGCATGAGCCCTATAGCAAAAATAATCTCTATCTCAAAAAAAGAGAGGTCTAAACTGAAAGAAGCTAATAGTAAACACCTTTCTTTCTTTTTTAAGTTTTTTACTGTAGGGAATGTGTACTCACTAGAGAGAGACAGGAGAGAGAAAGTAAGAAATCATCTCATGCAGGGCAAACAACCATACCATAATTCCTTCTCCTCTAGTCTCCTTTCAGGATTTTGGGCACGCATGCACATAAGCCACCAGGTCTGGGACTTGAAACACACAGTCAGTCGTGTGGGATCCAGTGCCTTAAACTCCACGTCACCTACTGGCCCAGTAAGTACCTTCCAATGTCCAGGATAACTTAATTCTGCTTGGTCAAGACCAACGTGCTAGCACGCTCACTGGGAGAGTTAGAACTCATCTCTGCCAATTCTTTTCTCGGACCTGAGAAGATAAAAGAGAAAAACATTCTCTCATTAATGAATCTGTTCTGTGAATACATATCCCCACTGGAAAGCATTCAGGCTTGGGAAACTTAATTTGGGTGACATCCTTTAGAAAAAAAAAGAAATAGAGAAAAAGAATTAAGAATAAAAGTGCATTTATTTAGAAAAAGAAATCATAAGAAATTGCACACTTTTTAAAAAGCTGATAAATACTACAAGTGTCATAAAACCCAAGGACTCCCAGAACCATAGCAGCTCTAAAGTTTATATCACCAGCTTACGCCAGTACTCACTTCCAGTTCACATCGTTATACTGAAACTATCAATGGTGGTTCCTGGAATCAAATCAGGTGGCTTTTCTCAGGCCTCCTCTCATGATCTCCTTTCAGCCATAAACACTCATAACCACACCTTCCTTCTTGGAAGTCTATCTGTCTTGGCACGTAAAGGGCTGTATTGCCACAATTTTCCTACCACATGTGCTAATCTTTCTTTTTGGTTTTACTTTCTCCTTCCATTTGCCATAAGCCAAGGTTCAGTCCTCAGCTCTCTGTTCCTTTTATTCCACATGCTTCCCCTTCACCTCTCAAAGCTCCAAACATAAAGCTAACTCCCAAATCACACCTCTGGCCCTACCATCACTCCTGGGTGTCAGTCCCACCAAGTGGACACCTCCACAAGAAAGTCCCTCTGAACCTCCAACTCAGCATGTTCAGAGCCAAACAAATTACATTCATTTGCAAACTGGTTGACCTCACTAGACATTGAAACTCAACACTTCCAAAATTAAACACATCATAATTAGCTGTATATCAGAACATCCCTCTTTCTGTTAAAAAGTTGATTTAAATGGATGGGTACTTACTCATGATCTCGGCACAGGAAATGATACTACTCCTTTCTTCTGTCTCTTTCCTACATTCTGGTTTATTCCCCATGAGCACAGGAAGTGGCTGGGAGGAAGAGTATCTGCAACCCAGTGGTTATGGTTTGGTTGAAATTCAGCTTTGTGTCTGTCTCCAGCATAGTACACCGTAAGACTTGCCTGACCCAGACATCTATATAGCGCTGATCAGTGAGGAGTCAGAAGACCTCTTTGTGGTATTAACTCCTGAAGCTAGAGGGAAAAATAAATAAATAAATCTGACAATCAATTCTAGGTCTTAGTTCTAAGGTTAGTAGACTCCAGACAAATTTAAATTCTCAACCCTGGCAAGTCCACTATGCCAAAATCAGAACCCTGGTTGAAAAAGAATGGTGCCTTGAGACTTAAAAATGGGACATTGGGTCAATATAAGCCAAAACCTTGAAATATCCAAAATTTTGAAAGGTTAGTCCCTTGACTTTCTGGGGTGAGCAAAAGTGACCTACTCCTCCCTCTTTAAAGGTTACACCCCCCACACACACACATTTGAAGATGATACCGAAACCACAGTCTTGCAAGAAAATACTTTTTTAAAAATCAGGATTTACTCCCACCTCATCTTCTGGCCACCAGAATGATTACTAGGATCATTTACAACATAATACATTGTAGTGGAGAAAATCAAACCCACCACCACTCCTCAGCTGAGATAGTACATAGAAAACAATCTTGCAATGTTGCTCACCGTGGTGCCGGCAGTAGGTGTTGCTGTGCAATGCTGAAGCCATGTAGAAATACCCCAGGTTTGGAGCCTGAGCCCACCTGAATGCGCTGGGCTCCGTGGCACTTCTGTGATTCTGACGGGGAGGCTGTTTGGGGGAAGGGATTGCGGTGTGGGGAGATTCTGTTGAGGGTGTCTCTCTCTCTCTCTCAATAAAGAAATAAACTTTTAAAAAATTGCATTCTAGAGGAAATGTCAGAATTGGTATTCTTCATCATACTTCCATGTAATTCTTCCGTCTGACATATAAAGAAATGATATGGATCCTGGAGGATGCCGTGGACTGCTGCAACCTCTATCGATGCTGGCCTAACTGCTGCAGCTGTGACAGAAGGGGTCTTTTGTTAGAACAGATTAGCCCAGCCTTAGCGATATGTATTTTTGATTGAGCCAAGAAGTTCTTTTTCATCCTGTCAAGAAAACAAATCAGAAACACATTCATATGGAACAGACAATACTCCACATTTATGGTCTAGCTCTGGGGCTATATTAAAACTCATCTCCTGTCATAATAAAGTCTGAGGGACCTGACCATTCTAAAGAACAGACATTGGTCCATTCTATTGAAGACACCACGTTAATCAGCCAAGATGAGCGAGAAGTGGCCAATATTTTGGAGGTCTTGGTAAGATGCCTATGCTCCAGGTATGAGAGATGCCTCCCTCCATGGGAGAGATGCTTAGGGCTCAGTGATTAGCTGAATGTGGAAGTGAGGAGAGAGATAAAGCCTGAGCTAATGCCCAGAATCCAGACTAGGGTAGTTGGATAGGTGGTAGAAACATTCACCAAAAGATGCAAAATGAGAGAGGAGTGGCTTTCTGAACAAGGTGAGGAGGTCAGTTTTAGGTATTAGCTTTTGATGCCAAATTAGGGTGGTTGGAGGTTCACATGAGTTATGGTGGGAGGATAAAAGGGCAAGGGGAGATTAAGAACCTGATGATGGAGTGGCTTAAATTATCCCCCAGACAACCAGATACCAACAATCTTCACAGATGTGTAGGCCTCTAAATCTCTTACTTCACAACATGTGTCCATTCCTGCCTCCACCCCCTGCATTCTTTGTACTCAGACCTGAATTTTCCCTTCTACCTGGCAGGCGGAAGAAAAGGACCCAGAGCTCACGGGATGCCAGAGAGCCCTGCTGTACCACAAAAGAGAAGCTGCCTGCTGTACACGCCCCTTTAGAGCTTTCTAATGCTAGGAATTGCGTGTGCATGAAGGGGACCAAAAACTCCCATCCTCAGGTCCCCGCAGAAATGGAAAGAACATGAGAGGCATTGAGTCTCAGTGTTTCCTCCCTTGAGAGGTAAGCCAGAGGTCAGCTAAATGATCTGACAGACTAGCTGTGGTGTTAAACCGACGACTCCTGGCTCTTCAGATCATCTGCTTGCCTCTCCACCACAAGGGCTGTCTTCACTCACAGGAACTCCAGCTGGGAATTCTGTCCAGTTAAGCAATATGCCAGTGTGCAGAGCCCCTAATCTCAAATCTGATCCAGCGAGGTGTAAGCACCAGAGGTGAGACTGTCAGGAGCCACAGCAAGCTCAGGAGGTCTCTGACTCCTGATGAAATGGTTGTGACAAAGCTTGGTACGACACACTGTGTATGTGTTCTGCTCAACTAGTTTCCTAGAAATCCTTCATAGAGTTGAAGCCTAAATTAAAGTACAGTTTAAAAACAGTATTTTATATCAAAGTTAAAATCAGGACACAATCTGTGAGTGGAGCAAACACCACATGCCATATCCGAGAGGGGGAGATGAGTCAAAGGTGAGTCCCTCTAAAATGCTCTCCCACTTTGCTATACAGTTGCTATAATCCTCACAATTAACAAGGGCCCTTATGGGTCTTAGCAGGATGCAGCACACTTTAGTCTTGTGAAGGCACTAAGTTACCTGAGAAAAGTTACACTGTAGACTCACATGTTCTCCAACATCAATTTTATACTAAATTCCCTCCCTTTATCCAGTGAGACAATGAAACTTAAGAAGGGTAAGAATTCTTGTTCCAGTTTTTTTTTTTTTTTTTTTTTTTTTTTTTAACCAGAGGATGTGTGTGCTCAAGCGAACACTCAGAAGAGAAAAGGAGGAAAAGCACCCCTGGGCCTGCTCATTCCACAATGCTTTTTTCCTTCATTTCTCTATTCCTCCAAAAATCCAGAGCACATGTACAGGTACATGTGCCTGGTATGTTTTTCTTTCTTCCCCTCTCCCTTTTATTTATTTATTTATTTACATTTTCCCACATTTAGTTTACATATCAAAAAAGTTTTTCTCATACTCCATAGGTCTTGACAGTTAATAAACAACTTTGATAATTTCTAAAAACATGAATTTTAAAGATAACTTTCAAAATAATTGTTATAATTTTGTTTGTGACTCTTTAACAACAGCCAATATAGTTTTAAATATTTCTGAGAAAATATTCACATGTCAACTACTCAAACTGTTGAGAAGCAAACACCCAGCACACAAGTCACACATGAACCTTCCTGACTCAGTTCTGCCTACCAAGTAGTCTGTGGTTTACCATCTACTAGCAAAGATCAGTCTCTTTCTTTCTTCAAAGTCTTCCTCAAGGTAATCCTCTAGTTGTGGCTGCTCTTTGGCAATCTCTACTGATTACAGTGTTGAACTGGAAAAGTCCAGGTTATTTTATGGTACGAATTCTCTCATATGGCATCTCTAATCCTCTCTGCCATGCAGAACTGTTTATGATGCCAGACCATCTTTCTAAGAGCTTCTGTTGGCTTCCTTGATATCTACCTTAGTTCCATAGTTTTCTGGTCATATCTTCAGAGATGACATTCCTGTCAAAGCCTTGGCAATAATGAGTATCTCAGGACCAGCAGTTGACATAATGGCTATGTTCCTGGACTCCCATGTAGTCGACTGCGGTTCGAGTTCCAGACCCAGTAGAACTTAAACTCATGCCAGGTGCTTGTGTGTGCGTGCCCAAGATCCTGAGAGGAGAATGGAGAAGAAGGGATTGCAACGTGGCCATCTACCCTGGGGAATGATGCCTCACTTTCTGTCTCTCTGTCTCTCTCTGTCTTTCTGGCGAGTGCACACGCCCTATAGGAAAAACCTCTCAAAAAAAAAAAAAAAGAACAACTAGTATCTCCAATCTCTGATGCAAGGAAGGCAACAGATACACTGGACTTATGCAAATAACCCTTCTGCCACAAAATAAGAATATTCTCAAATATTTTCCAATTCCAGAGGGATCAGGAAGGGAGAAAAGTTTATGTTTTAATTTAAAAAGTAAAAACAATAAAGCAAAAAAAAAACCCCACATTTTAACAAATTGCTGAATCTAGTATGTTTTCAAACTAACGGGGTTGGGATTCGAGCTGCGGCTATCCAGTAGGGTTTGTCTCCATCTGCACCGTACTTAATTGCCGCACTATAGGGCTGGGCCAAGAAGGTAAATTTTAATGAAAGACAGAAAATAAAGACTGGGGAACCAGCAGTTAGCGTAATGGCTATGTCGCTGGACTCCCACGTAGTCGACCGCGGTTCATGTCCCGGACCCGGTGGCTTAAAACTCACGCCGGGCGCGTGTGCGTGCGTGCCCAAGATCCTGAGAGGAGAATGGAGGAGAAGGGATTGCGGCATGACCATCCCCCCTGGGGGGTGATTTCTCGCTTTCTGACTCTATGTCTCTGTCTGGCGAGCGCACGCACCCTACAGTGAAAATCTCTCCAAAAAAAAAAAAAAAGAAAAGAAAGACTGAATGAAAGTCATGGAGTTTCCTGGCTGGGTGCAATATAACACCTGAAGAAGGGATTGTCAAAAATGGGAAGAATTCCTGAAAGTAGGAAGAGGTCACTAGACACAGATGTTGTCTATTTGATTCTCTCAAACGAATCTAAACATCTAGGGCCAACTTTGATCTATTTTCAGTTTGAACTGAGTAAAGATTAGATTTTTGTTTTTTAATTTCTCCAGAGAGAGTGTATGCTCACTCAAGAGTGACAACAAGAGAAGGAAAGTGAGACTCTCTCATGGAGAATGGTCAGGTCATAATCCTTCTCTTTTCAAGATTTTGGGCACATATGCACACACACACACACCCAGTGTGGCTCAAACCACCAGGTCTAGAACTAAATCATGCAATTACCCACATGGGATCCAGCCACCATAACCACCATACCATGTGCTGACTCAACCATTAGATTTTCTTAAAAGTTGAAACATTAGTGAATCCCTTTTCTTAATGATGTCAAAATTACTATAAATTCAATAAAATTAAATATCTTAAACAAGATTTCACAGATATGGACCAAAATAAGGGTCTCCAAAAAGTTTGTGAAAAAAGTATATTGTAAAAAAGTTATGAGACCAGATGGTGACGCAACAATAACACAGCATTCTGTGAGGCTGGCCCACATAGGAAGTGTCCAGGTTTTCACTGAGAGACTTCCCTGATCATGCCAAATGCATGTGTGCCCATGACCCAGCCTGGCTGACGCTAAGGAAGATCATGGAGTGAAGACCCTATTAGGGATGACTCTCTCCCTCTCTCTCTCTCTCCTTCTCTCTCTCTCTCTCTGTTTCCCTGTCTCTTCTCCCCCATCCCATCTCTCTTTCTCATGGAATAAATTAACAACTAGTAATAATAATAAATTATGTATGAATTTTTAAAAATTTTGTACCAAAATTAATTTGTACTTTTTCCACGAACTTTTTGAAGTGCCTTTGTATATAAAGCAAATATTAGAGAGCAGAGAGAGATAGATGGACCCCAGTACAATAATAAGGGACTTCAACACCCCACTCTTAGCATTGGACAAAAATCATCTACAGGCAGAAAATCAACAAAGAAACATCTGGTTTGAACAGCACTCTAAGTCAAATGGATCTAACAGCCATTTACAGAACATTTCAGCCAACAATGGCAGGGCACTCATTCTTCTCGTCAGCACCTGGAACTTTCTCCAGAACAGACCACACAAGAGGCCACAAAACAAGTCTTGGCAAATTTTTAAAACTGAAGTCATACTAAGTACCTTTTGGTTTTTTTAAAGAATTATTTTATTTAACTTTCTTGATTATTATTATTTTCCAGTTTGATGAGACAGAGAGGGAAAGTGAGAAAGCAAGCCACCAGGTCCAGGACTTGAACCATGGTTGGCCATGTGGGAGTCCAGCACCTTTAACCACCATGCCACCTGTCAGCTCCACTAAGTACCTTTTCTGGCCACAGTGGAATAAAACTAAAAATCAATAACAAGAGGAACTATACATGGAAATTAAGCAACATGCTCCTGAATGTCCACTGAATCAATGGAAAAAATCATTTATAAAATTAAAAAATTTCTGAAAATAAATGAAAATAAAAACACAACATATCAAATCCTTGGGATGAGCAAAAACAATACTAAGGGGGATGTTTATAGCAATAAATGC